ACCTGACCATGCAGCCGGTGCCCTCAACTGCAAAAAGTTCAAAGTGAGAATGTGTTTTAACAGGCTCCTAACTCTAAACTTTAACAAGGGGACTTCGGGTACTCCAACCCCTAAGCCCTAAAAAAACCTGTTATGGTCCCAGTCTGATTCTAGAGGTTGAGGTAACTACAATCCCCTCCCTAAACACCAAACCCGGAACCCTAAACCCTAACCCCTAAACCCGAAACCCTAAACGCATGGCGAGGTTGCCGGGCTTGGGGTCTAGGATTTAGGGTTTAGGGTTTTGGATTAGGGTTTAGGGTTTGGGGTTTTGCAACCAGGGCTTAGGGTTTAGGATGTAGTGGTTAGGGCTCAGGATTTAGGGTTTTGGGTTTGTTGCCGTGCGAGTACTTGTGTGCTTTGGATGGCAGGCCGTGTGGGGTTGGATGTTAGTTTGGGGGAGGGTACCTGTCACCCCCAACTACCTACACTTTAGTAGTAACGACCCATTAAGTAGTAGGAATAACCCATGATAATGTAGGTAATTGGGGTTACAGGTGTATCCTAGAGCTCAGGGTTTTGGTGAAAGCATCACCAGACTCCTCTCATGGGCCTTTAAGAACTCCCTTTTTGAGGAACCTCCACCTATCTACCTGAGGCTGTTTCTGCCCTGTTCAGGTTTGCGCTCCAGGGTGTGGGATTCAGGGTAGAGGGGTAACTACATGGGCTGGTTTTTCGAATTCTAGCAGTTCTGTGACCATCATGCTCATTGTTGTTGATTTTTCCTTGTTCTTCTTCTTCTTCATCTTTATCATCGTGACCATAATCCTTGCTATCGCTCTTGCGAAGCACCGAACCCTAAGTTCTAAGCCCAAAACTTCAGAGGTCAAACTCAAATCTTCAGGCAGTGATCGAGGTTGTTAAGTTTCCACAGCATCCAGAACTTTTAGTTTAGGGCTTGGAGTTTAGGATTTAGGGTGTAAGATTTAGGGTTGATTATGGAACATCCTTCCAAGCATATAAGGGTTTCTAGTAGGGTTCAAGGCTGACTCATGGCAAATCTCCGCTAAACCTTTAAAAGTCACGTATCCGATGAAGTGTCGTGGGCTTGGGAGCATTTCCCTCTTTTGGGTTTAGGGAGATGCGACTCCTTTGTAGCCCCAATGAATCCCTCGGGTCCCTAGGGCCCCTCAGTTTTGAAAGCGCCCCGTATTCTCGCATATTCCTAGGATAAGTTAATAATGTAGAAAAGTTAAAAGAATCAAGTCTTCATTAGTTATACGGCTCCAACAATGTCCCAGATTGTCCTCGTCCTTTTTAATGCAGGGCTCCGTGCCGCAGAAGTTTGGAGCGCGAGGCACGAAGATCAGAAGTTGAACAGCAACTTTGGGCTGAGGGGGTTAGGGTTTAGATTTTAGGATTTGGGGTGTAGTGTGCAGGATTTAGGGTTTCTTTTCGAGATCTAGGTTTTCAGGGTTTAGCATTTTGAGTTTTTGGTTCGGGGATAAGGGTTGAGGCAAGCAAATACTCATATAGTCAAGGCGTAAACCCTAATCTCCCAACACTAAACCCCTAAACCCTATACAACCCCATTGTAGTAGTTTCCATTTTCTTTTGCATTATCCCAATATAACCCCCATATAACCCCAATATTACTCACTATATTACAAACCCTAAACCATGCTCAACGTCGACTCTTGAGTTCGGGGTTCTGCAAGTTTTTAGCTGCTAGAGTCTCAGGGTGTTGGTTTGGACGAATTTGATGCAGTTCCTCATTGAATGACTAGGGGTCGTGTGTAGAAGCTCTTGTTTTTGGGCTTCTAAAGTCTGAAATCCTAGGATACCAAGGGTGCGGCGGGTTCAATCTTGAGGATTTTCAGGTGGAGGGTTTTCTTCGCATGCCACAGCACTACTGGACCTCCGAGTCTCTCCATGAAAGCAACGTAAAGGTAGCCACCGGGTACCCTCACCCACCGGGAAATCACACAGCTTCATCGGTAGGGTTTAGGGTTTGGGGGTTTCGGTGTTGAAGGGTTGAGGGTTCAGGGTTTAGGTTAGGGTGTAGGTTAGGGTCTAGGGTTAGGGTATAGGGGTTTAGAGTTCATCAGTTAAGTTTGGTTTTTAGGACAGCACAAGGCGGCCACAGCAATGCCCCATGTGAAGACCTCTGTGGGTTTGGGGTTTAGGATTCAGACTGTTCACCATGTTGGGCCTTCTTCCGTTTACTCCTACCTCAAGCCTTCAAAGCCCAACATCCAAATCAATCCCAACTCTGGCTTCATCCCGGTGAGATCCGCAAGCATGAGTGAGAGGGTCACGTTTCCAACAGAGCTCACTATAATGTAGAGTCCACTTAAACGGAGTTTCCATTTAATTGTGTTGGCCATGTAGTTCGCAATTAATACTCTACGCCCTACACATCCTGATTTCGGCATCTGCTAATGACTTTGGATCACCAGCCCCGGGAGCTTGAAACCCTATACCCTAAACCCTAAAGCCCTCAGCTCAACATCAGAACGCCAAGGCCTCGAGCTCTGAAAGCCTCAAATCCAAATGGTAGTTTCCCTAAATAGGGGGTTCTCAACACAGACCCCAATATACCATAATCCTTATTATGGGGATCCCCAAAAATGGTACTCCTAATTTTGGGACCAACCCAATCCTAAAGACTTCACCCTAGATCCGCAACGCTACAAAAGGGTTTGAAATCCCAAGCCTAGCTTTTGTCCAACACCCAAGACCCTGAACCCTAAATCCTAAGCCCCAAACCCCAAGGCCTAAACCCTAAGCCATAGCCCTAAGCCCTTTTATACCTCTATACAGTCCCAGTTTCCGTTTCATTTTTCTTTTCCATTTGATTCTCCATTGTGGGGGTTGCCCCACCAAGCCCTAAACCCAAGACCCTAAATCCTAAGCCCCAAACCCCAAAGCCCAAGCGCTAAACTCTAAACCCTAGATAGTAGTTTCCATTTTCTTCCCCATTCCCCTAACCCCTATGTAGCCCTTATGAAGCTCACCCCTGTATAGCATGTCCCCGATATAACCACTACGGAACATACATGCCTGCCGCAGCATTCTCTTTTCACAGGGCCTGATCGGCGCCGTAGGAGCGCGTCGGCCCGCTAGAGGAGGTACCAAAATGGTGCAGCTAAGTTTGCAGCATACATTGGTGCTTAGATTTTTGAGGCTTAAAGGTTTTAGGGTTGACAGGCTTGTAGAGTTTAGGGTTTAGAGGCCTCTAAGGTTTAAGGGCCTTTCAGGGTCTTCCAGTACTGCATCAAAGTTCGCCTCCTACCAATGCGCATTCATGTCAAGCCTACACCCCACAGTCATCCGTAACCCTATACATTATGCACTAAAGCCCTGCAAGTCCACTTTACATTAATCTCTGAGCTATGAAAACCCACACACCCAAACCCTAAATCCAAACAATTAAAGTCTGCAATCACCCAATGGCCCCCGCATTTCGGTGCTAACTTCCCCAACGTGTTAAGCTCCTTGCTAACCCAATTCAGTTTTTCAAGTTTTTGCACGCCATGCCGCGATCCACTGCTGTTGCAGAAAGAAAGGGCGCTGAGGTCCTGGGATCGTTCAGGATTTCAGGATTTAGGGTTACTCTTCACCAAGCCAATGAATTTGAAAGGGTGTGGTGGGGGTACTTTTGAGGTTCCATTTTTGTTTGGAGAAAGCATTGTTGTTTCCCTGGTGCGGGCTAGTTCAGGCGGATAGTATACTGTACTGCGAACTTTACACTGTTTTTTTTTTGGTTTCGTTCGGAGTCAGTTAAAAACTTTGCGTTCACTAAAGAGAAGTTCCGGAAATAGGGGACTCCTGTCATATCTACCCCTAAAGTATTATCCCTAATGTGAGGACCCCCAATAACTGGACGCTTAATTCTTGGAATCCCCCTAACCCCTAAACTCTAAACCCTGAACCTAAACCCTGAACCTACACCCGTAACAGTAGTTTCCATTTTTCCACTATCCCTATATAACCCCTATATAACCCATTATAACACAGAGGTTTCGTGTAGGCCGTCCCAAACTTGAACTACGACATACCTCGCATGCCATGATTTTTTTTGGGGTTCAATTCGCAAGCTTCTATTAACACCCCAGTACTAAAATCTCCCACCCATGTAATGATTGATGTTCCCGATGTGGTGTCGGTATAGAATGGGGGCAGGTGGGGGTGGGCAGGTTCATTTTTAGGTGGAGGAGAAAGTCAAAGGATTTAGTGCAGTCCGGTTGCTCTCCAAGAGGAATACTGCATGGACTTAAATAGTTTCCCCTGTCATGGCCTTAGATTCCTTACATAATTTGGGTATCGGGTGCCTCAAATAGACGTCAACATGATATCAGGCCCATGTAGTAACTGTTGTAACCCTCTACTAGAAGGGGAGAAAATACAGTTTCCAACAGCTTCTAGTTGGTATTTCCTTAAAGTCATGGTCCTAAAGTAATTGCAGCTGCGTCATTGTTTTGCAGCATAACGACCAAGGTCCCAGAAGGCCTCCGGGTGCCCCGTGCAGCTTATCCGTGTTGGAATGGGTTCAGCGTTTGGAGTTCAGGTACCCCTTTTCGCTGCCCGCATGTTTTGGAGAGCGTCTGAGGGCATCACGCTTTAATGCCGTTTACGTCTAAAGCCGGAAAGCCATCCGCCCATAGGATGTATAATCTTCCCCCCTAAGGGACTAAAGCGCTATTGGGCACAAGCATGGCCCGTAAACAGACCATTACACTTCCCCAAACTAACCTGGGATCTGAAAGGTCCTTTCTTTTAGGGCGGGGGAGTTCATGGGGTTCCATGTTAGTTTGGGGGAGTGGTTGGGGGTTGGGTCATAGAGTTGCCACAGCCGCAGTGACTGCAGCTATTCACCTTGCAACGTTGTGTTTCCCAAGCCCTAAACCCTAAGCCCCAAAGCCCTAAAGGCCCTAAAGCTGAAAAACCAATCACCTTAAATTCAAAACCCTAAACACCCTAAACCCCAAAACCCTTCACACCGAAACAGCTGCTTCTAGGTGCCTGGTCGTTGGCGACAACACAATTTTACAGCGGTGTCAGCTAGGGCACACAGGCGATTTGCTTATTGGTTCTGAGGAGGGAATAAAGGAACATATAGGGTTTAGGGTTAGGGTTTAGGGTTCAAGGGAATAAGGTTATATACGCCCTCTGTTCCCTTATTCAACTATGTTTGGGGCTGCGGGAGGAAAGGTTTCGGGTTGTTGCTTCAAAGTAGCTTGGACTGATAAAGGTGTGCTGGCTGCGATTCGAATTGGTGAGAGTAAGACGTTGTACTTTTCCATGGAAGGGCAGATCCCAATTCGGGAGCAAGATCATGCATCACCGCCTACTTCATATTCCTGGCTAGAACCGTCTCTGACTTGGTAGATGTGAGGAAAGGTGCTTCTTAAATTCGCAGCCATCGAGTAATCCAGTACTGCTGCAGTGCTTTGGGGAATCCGTAATGTAGACCCCTGATTAGTAAATCGCCTCCCCTTAGTAGGGAGTATGATAGGGATCCGAATACTACGGCCCTTAAAAGGAGGGAGTTTATTAATCAGGGTTCTACATTACCATGCGCAGCCTTGTTTCTTGGGGCTTGGTGAATGTCATCACCACCTTCAGTGACCTACCTTGTCCGCAATCTAAGGGTTTAGGGTTTAGCGTTTAGGGCCAATTGCTGTCCTCGTTAAAGGTCCGGGGAATGTTTTCTTGGTAGAGAGTCGGCAGATAAGCCTTTGAATTCAAGACCGGCATTTGACTGTTCAGTTGGTGTGCTTCTTCTTTTAGTCATGTCTGCAACACGACATACTACAATCTCAAACCTAAGCATGTGTGGATTTTGTTTTGTTCAAACTGAGAATCTGAAGCGAAGTCATGTGAGATTTCCCCAGGCCGCATCACTCCGCTCCTGCCGAAACGAGCATGGAACTTTATATGGGTTGTTATAGGGGTCATATACAGGTTACGTAGGGATAATGTAAAAGAAAATGGAAGCTACTATTTGGGGTTTACGGTTTTTTGGGGTTGTTTTAGAAAATAATGGGCCCTTTTGATTATAGATTGTATTGCGGCACTTAACATTTCGGGGCACCAATATGGGACCCTAATTTTGGAAAATACCCATACGGGCCCGGTCTATAAGGCAAGTTGTCCTCTAGAGGCCATTGTCCAGCGGATTTGGTGGAGTATCTACTCTCAACCCTCGGCCCTTTCTAGAAACCCTAGGAAGCCCTTTATAGGCTTCCATGTTGCTTTGTAGCATTGCCCAAGGCCAACGGCCTCAGCTCCCGTTGTTTTCCCTGCTGGCATGTTGTTTTCATCGGCTTTTTATTGTTCATTTCTGTTGGTGATACAAACACAAGCTTTCCGTTAATCCTTTATTCCTTTATGTGGACTTTCTCTCTTTCTTCTCTCTTTCTGTCCATCTGTTTTGCCTCTCCTCGCCCTTGGCGTCTGGGTGCCAAATCATCATGGTACAAGTAAACTTTTGGGGCTGTGAATCATACGAGAGGCAGGCAACAAACTAGTATGTGCCATGCCAGGGCTAAAAGCAGCGGCAACTAAACTGAATCCTAGACCCCAAGGCGAATGTGCAAACCCCAACACCCCGAGACCCAAATTGCCACCCAGGCCTGTTTGTCGTACTCACGCTCCTCTAGAATGCCCAGATCTACATCTGGCAGCCACTCACACCTTTGTTTGGAGGTAGGTACTACGCAAGCCCGAAGAGTTGTGTAGAGCGTCAGCTGCACCTTTCAGTGCCAGTGCCAGGACCCTGCTCAGGGCTCTTCCTCCTCTTCTGTAAACGACATTATTGCTATAAAGAAGACCTAAGCCTACCGAGCTTGCGTTCTGCTCGGGGAGGGCGTGTCGGGGTCCCGCCCCGCTCCTGGTGTTGTTCCGAAAAATGTTGGAGACAGGCACGCCTATCCCAGGCCCTCTCCCAGATTCTCCCGCTTGCGCGTTAATTGGAGCAGGGCCGTTCGCTGAGGCTTGGGACCTCCTACGGCCTGCAGGTCAATCGCACGCTTGCCGCTTTCTCTCATATTCCACACTTCATATTTGGAAGAGCCCGCAGCTTCCAAGGCTTTGCAGATCCTAACAAGGACAGTTTCCCCGACTTTGGCAGTGTTTCCATGCATTCAAGCGCTTCCTAGGTATGAAGGAGGAAACCTTACAACGGCGCCACTTTGCAAGGTTGGAGACGCTCTCATGGAATAATGCTGTGAAGCCGGCGCCCAGATCAGGAATTTAGGGCAGCAGTCCGAAGCCTGAAAAGGAATTCAAGTTTGGCGGATGCCTGTGCAAGCAGCGCATGGGAAGATCACACAGCACACCAATTCTGGTTGTTGGGTTCTGATCCACGATGTGCCGTCGTGCCACCAGCCGTCGTGAGGACGCTCAAAATCCTTACCCGAAGCCCTTGGCCTTAATCCCCGAATCCTGAACCCTAATCCTGTAGCCCTATTCCTTGTCAGTTGGCCTTCGCATCGCCGTGCGGCAGCTCGGGCTGCAGAGGATCCGTGTTCCTTGGCGCGGAAGTGGTAGAGCTTAGGTTTGCACCGTTTAGGGGTTTGGGGTTTAAGATTCAGGAATTCAGGGTTTGAGGTTTTGAAGTTTATGGCTTGGGCTTTGCTGTTCTCATTTGGGTTTTTGCATGTGGGGTTTCGATTTCCGTGTAGAAGGCTTCGGGTGGAGTGTTTCGATGTAGGCCTTGCAAGAGGTTCTGTAGCAGCTAGAACATGTTGGAAACTGTACGATTGTCATGAAATCCGAGCAGAATACACCTCAAAGCCCGACTCGCGTTGTTTAGGATCCTGACGTGCTTCGTTCGGCTCAAGCCAGGGGTCACTAACGACTCATGCTATCGTGGGGTTTCTTATGGGCCTAGATGGCCGTAGGTATATTAGACGTAGGAAGATTTGTTTCAAAATAATGCTCGCAGGCAGAGTGTTGTCTGAATCTCCCGTGTGATCATTTGAGGGACGGCGGCTCTTGAACTTTCCGACGTAGCTGGGGTTCCCGGCTATCCCTCAATCCGACACCTTAAACCTTAAGCCCTCAAGTCCAAGCCGTAATCCGCAAACATCTTAAACCCAACAGTAAGTATGCATATAATCCCTATTAACTAGATCATAGCTCCACGTATGCCTTGTCTTTACCTACCTACTAAGTCGCCATGACCCCTTGAAGCAGTCAGGTCTACCCCTAAACCCTCAATCAACCCTACACCCTAAAACCTAAACCCAAAACCCTTAACCCACTAGCCGTACTGTGGCCTGTTGCCTACGTCCTGTGGGCTGTGAGCTGGGATTCGTGCTTGTGTGTTTTGAACAGTTTGCTCCTGCAGACTATTGCCTTCCGGGACGCTTGCGGATCGGAAAAAGGAGCTGTAAAAAAAAACACTAGTCTCAGGTCTGCCGGGGGTAATTCCCGAAGCGGTCCAGCTGCTTGCAAAGCCGCTTCGGCTCGATTCGAGTACTTGGAGGTTCAGGGTATGTATGCTTCAATAAGGTTCAGGTTGAGGGCTAAGGCTTGGGAATTTGTTTAGGGGTTGAGGGCGGCGTTTAAGGGAGGTTCCAATTGTACTTGTAGTTTGTCACCCAATTTTACTTGTATCGGGAGTCAGGGGTTCATAGCTGCATCACGATACTTACCTAGAACGTCCAAGTAATGTAAATTAGTGTAGACCCCAATTAATCACATCCCTCCGCTTAATGGGGATGATCGTAGGGATCCTAATATTTGGGTCCTTAAAGGGAAGGGATTTATTAAACATCATGGGTCTACATTAACTAGGGGTTGTAGCCTGTGAGAATCCGTATCTAGCTGTGGTATCGCATCTAGATAGAACATGGCTTTGCGTACATTATAATAAGATCCCCATATACCGCATATTCTATCTACTGAAGGGGGACTATATTCTAGTGATCTAGGCACCTAAAGTATCCGGTCGTGGTCACGCTATGCCTGGTTTCGGCTTGAAGTGTTCACCTGCAGCTTCTTTTTTTGGAAAATTTTTGGATTGCTAGGTCGACTAGAACCAAGTTGCACGTTGTCTGGAATATTCACACCTTTGTACCATAGCTATTGTCAACTAGGAGTTTAGGGACCCAATCCCTAAATCCTCAACCCCAAACCTGAGCCCTGGATGCGGTAACCCAGGCGTCTGCCCACTTCGCTTCGTCTTTGCTTTGGTGCAGCGGGTACCGGGCTTGCATGCACCAAGAACTTTGCACCAGGCAGCTTGCAGATATCATTGGTTTAGGGTTCAGGGTAGGAGGGTTAGGGTTTAGGGCTTGGGCAGACATCTTCTAAATCTGAACCGTTAAACGTGTGATCTAGGGCAGGGCCGACATAAAAAGAGGGTTTCTGTGTTGGGGTGGTGCCAAAGTATGATGTGAGTTTTCTGGAGGAATAGGGGGTCTTAGGGTTTCGGGTGGTAGTCTGACGGGTTCAGGGTTCAGGGTCAGGGCAGGTCCTGTTAAACTATTGCAGATGATTTGCTCAAGAGCAAACCTATGATTCTGATTTCACGGCTGGAAAACTCAAACTCGCAACCCTAGTCTGTACCCTTCAGGTTTAGGCTGTCTTACGTGTTTAGTGTAGAACCTTGAAATTAATATTATCAAATTACATGAGCCCCCCCCCCCCTCCCCCCCAACCCTAAACCTTTAACCCTGAACCCGAGATACCCCCCAACAAAGCTGACCTGGAACCGCCTAAAAGACTGGTTCTGTACGGGCAGAAGTTTTTACGGGATAGATTTTGGGGTTTCCATGTCCGTCTGCAGAGTGTATGTACTGTTTTAGTTTTAGGGTTTAGGATCTAGGGTTTAGGGTTTTTGGTAGGAACCTGAAAATGAGAAAAATCTTGTCCTCATACCCCCGCAAATCCTAGGCTATCATGGGGAGGTGCAAGGGAGGGGGCAAGAAAGGTTAAACAAGGCCCAAACTTAAAGCGAGGGCATGAGTTCCCTAACATCGCGACCCTTGCACCCCCTAGCTCCCCATGAGACTAGGTCTCTGCAGAGGCAACGTGGGATCTAGGATAAAGTCTTTGCTGCGTTCGGTCCCCAAACCCTAACAGCCCTCAACCCATGAACAACGCGTCCAGGGCAGGGGAGGGTTTACGGTTAAGGGTGTAGGGTTAAACTCTAAACACTTAACTTTAAACTTAGGATTAAGGGTTTAGATTTACAATGGCGAACCCCAGATTCGGGTTTAGGGATTTGGGGTTTAGGGATTTGAGTTTAGGGCTTAGGGCTTAGGTTAGACTTTAGGGTGTAGGGTTTACGGTGTAGGGTTTAGGGTCTATAGGGTTTTTGGGTTTACGAATGTTATCCCAATAATGAAGAATCAGGCGGAAACGAAGATGGAAAATGGAATGATAGTAGCATGCAATGCTGATCAAAACGGGGTAGTGATGCCAGCATCGAAATGGCAACAGCAGTAGCCATGTTGGTTGTTAGTGTTCGACTACGCAACGGAAGTGATTCATATCTTGAGATTTGTGCCGCTAGTAGAGATTGAAGGGCAGAGTGGCAGTACTGTTGTTGATGGTCAAAGGAAACAGGTCTTGTGGCAATTCGCATTTGGAGCCTTCTCCCTCGTGCTTTGAGGCAAAGACATGCTGGAGATGATACGTAGTAACAGAGATCATGCTAGTTTTCTAGTACAGCAGACCTTCTCGGACCGTTCAGGCACTGACATGGGGTTGGAGCCCATTCTCATTTGGTCCCGACACCCTAAGCCCTTCATATACGTATGTATGTATATACATATACATACACATTCCCTTGTTCAGGCACCGACATGGCGTTGGAGCCCGTTCTCATTTGGTGCTCAGACGAAGGCAAGCTTCCTGCGACTGGCAAGGCCCGAGTGTGAAGGGTCGTCGACGGATTTCCAGTTGTTTACTGTTGATACGAAAGAACGTTACTTTGCTGAAGTACCATAATTCCCAAAGTCTAAAGTACTTAAGGGCTGGCAGGATTTTTTAGTATCTACAGAAGGGCAAGGCTTAGGATTCAGGTCAGGATGTGAGGTTTGGGGCTTCAGGGTGTAGGGTTCAGAGTCTAGGGAGGGGGCCAAAGGGATGTGGTCGTGGCCGTACCTCGTACCGTGTGCTTGTACGAGGGCAGCGGCAGGAACAGTTTTTTTTGGTCGCATGAGATATTGTCAATATTCGGCTTACTAAGGAACCATTAAGGGTGGACATGCGGGTCCCTTTGGTAGTTTTGTCTAAAAAACTTGACAGTAGTTCAGGGTTCAGTACTTGCAGTGGAGGGAACGTGGTTGATTTCGATTTTCGGAGCACTTCTGAGAATTGTTGGGCAGAGTGTAGGAGGGCTCAGGCATTTAGGCATCATGATTCCAAAGACTATGAGAGCAGTCTAAAAATTCTGGGCCAAGGTTGAGCACCCTAAGCCCTAGACCCTAAAGCCCTAAACCCTGAAGCTTAAAATGAAGCAGTACCTTCAGAGTCCATTAGTTCAGGAATAGGCCTTAAATTGTTCCAGAGTTCTGAACACGTTTGAAGGCTTAGTGTTTAGCTAACTGGTATTTCGAGTTTAGGCTTTGACTCAAAAACTTACCCGATCAATTCCATACTTGGACCTTTACCCTACACCCTAAACCCTAAGACCTTAGTCGCGTGCCAGAGACTGAGGCCTTCGACTTGGCGCGATTGTTTCCAGTAACTCTCCGGCGGCGATGCGGTGTTGAGGCTGCTGGGTGTTTGTTTCATATGGGTGGTTGTCAAAATTATGATCCCTTTTTGGGTACCCTAAATATTAGGTGCCGCATTATAATAGGGATCCAAAAAGGGACCATATTTTTCACAACCACCCATATTGGGGTTATATTGGGATAGTGGAAAGTAAAATGGAAACTACTATTTAGGATTGAGGGTTTAGGGTTGAGGGCTTAGGGTTTAGGGTTACCGAGACACGGGGTAAAGGGTTAGGGCTTCATGTCAATGTAGGGTTTCGACTTGAAGCTTTAGGGTTGAGGTTTCTGTCTGGGTCCTGGGGAAGATTTTTCAGTTAAGGGTTTAGGGTTTAGGGTTCTCCTGGGGAGTATAGAGGGGAACTTTGTCTGTTTGTGATTATTGTTGAGTGTTTTTGGCAACCCTTCGAAAGGTGGGGGAGTGTGTCGGGTGTTTTTTGAGATGGGGTTCCTGCCATCTAGAGCACTCATGTGGAGATCATGTGCTCGTGCGGAATGTGGAGATATCGGACGAGAATCTTGCAATGTTCAGGGTTTAGGCTGACGACAGGTCATGGCCCAATGCTAGGGAGCCGACAAAACTTGGAGAGGCAACCTCACCCAATCCGTGCACAAGTATAGTATGTTGAAGGTTTAGGGTAGCATCGCATACCATAAAATGCACATTCCAACAGTTGAAGTTACTAAAACTATTCGGAGAAGTATATGTTGCACAACATTTCAGGTTGACCTGGGTGCTGTAGGTCCTTGTTTAGGGTCTAGGAGCTGAGGATGAAAGATTTAGAGCTAGGATCCAGGATTTTGATCTTAGGATCGGTGACTTGCGGCTTGATGATCCCTGAACCCTAATCAAACCTTAAACCCTAAACCTTAAGCCCTCAACCCTAAACCCTTAGCCCGAAAAATCCTAAATCCCCTGGACCCTAAACCCTAAACCCTAAACCCATCCATCCATCTTAAGCAACTCAACTCCAGAACCCAACTTGTGTCCGCACCACCTCTGAGGCAAGCAGAAGCCCAAAGCCTCAACTCCCAGCCCCAAAGCCTATAGTCCCCCGTAGGTAGATAGGGTTTTAGGGTTTAGGGTCCCCCTTAAGTAGATAGAATATGGGCTTATATTGGGGTTATATTGGGATAATAGAAAAGAAAATGGAAACTACTATTTTGGGTTTAGGATTTTAGGGTCTGGGGTTTAGGGTCCCCTTTAAGTAGATAGAATATGGGGCATATGGGGATCTTATTATAATATACCCAAAGCCATATTCTATCTACTCAGGGGGGGCCTGTAAGCCAAAAACACCAAGCCCTAAGCCCTAAGCCTAGGCTCCCAAGGCTCGAAAGCCTAAAGCCTTAAATCTTGAATCCGTGAAGCCGAAAGCCCTATGCAACCCTGTCGGATTGTACATACTCCGATATAGCCCCAAAGAACCCGGTACAACTTGAAGGAAACTAAATCTGCCATGGAAGATCCCCGCCGCCATTACAGCCGCCTTGGTCTTTCTCTCACGCAGTATCGCCGCGGACTGGGTCTTTGAAATGGGTGAGCCACCCCTAAACCCTGAACCCTAGACCCTAAACTAGAGCAAGATGATATCTTCAATGGGCATTTCCACTTAGGGTCGGAGAGGGGTTGGGTTTGGTGTGTGGGGCTCGGACTTCCTGCAGCTGCCATGCGTGTGCTGCGACTGTAGGGTTTTACTGTATCATGGTTCAGGGCTTACGCCTCAGGGTTTTATTGTTTTAGGGTTCATGGCTTAGGGTTTAGGGTGTTACTGTTCAGGATCTACGGCTTGGGGTTTAGGGTTCAGGTTTTAGTGTTTAAGGTTTTGGGCCCAACCATCTTGCAGGAGCAGCGCTAATATGTGTAGCTTCATGTTTACCTTTTACTTGCTTTTTGTGTGGTACGTTATGTCTGAACTCCTGGGCAGTACGCTCGACACATTCTATCGGCAGCAACAGATCTTAATATCAAGTTCAAAACACTACCTCTGCGATTGTCCTCTGTGTATCGATCCAGGCCCGGTACTTTAGGAGGAATACTTGGCAGTGGTGTATCATTTTGTACAAGAAGCCCGCCAGTTGTCTCAGGTGAAAGATTTTCTTATCTGTGAAGGTGTGGTGGGCTTGCCTGCAATCGTTTGAGCTTTTGTGTGGTTGACATGCTTCGTGCCGTTGCCGATACTTCATGTAGTTTGGTATTCTTCAAATACAAGGTGTGTCTATCTCAATCTACCCCAAATGCTCCCTTCGTTCCGCTACATGACAGGGTTACCGTCGACAACATGTGATTTCCCAAGTTAGCCATACGTTCCATTTTTGTCAACTTCCATTCCACACATCATAGCGTCGCCGAGATGCCGAGGATTTAGCATGTAGGGTGTATGGTTGTGTGGGTTCTGAACATTTCGGTGCTCCTGCAAGTCCCATAGTTCGGACATTACTATTTTCTGTGTACAGGGAAACCCGAATTCAGCAAAGTGCCACGTTGTGTCTTCTTTTCTTCGTCTCTATGTTGTTGTTCATTCCAAAAATGGGTACTGTTTTTAGGTGAGGTAACTAGTTCTCCCTGGCTAGGTGATAGGGCTCTCGATCAGCATTCAGTTTTTGGGGTGGAATGGTGGAATTCCGGGGTGTAATGGCAAACTAAACTCTATGCCGAACACCCCAAATCCTAAATTCCAAGCCCTAAGCCTGAAATCCTTCTGCCCGAAACCTTCAGGCCCCAAAATCTAAACTCCTTGGCATGTTTTACCCTAAGCCTGAAATCCCAAACCCTAAACCCTCATGTTCATAGAAAAGCCCCAATTCCCAAACCTTGACCTTCGGGAGACTTCACATTTCAATTAGGCTAAAAAGCAAAATAGCGCCTTCAAACCCAAAGTGATTGTAACGCAACACGACCCTTTCAAACCTTGGGTAGTCGTCAAGCGAAATGGCCCCTCAACCCAAAGCAAGTGTAAAGCAAAGTGCCCACGCTCCAACACCCGAAGTATTTGTAATGAACTCTCCCGCCAGGAGAGCCTCAACCCTTCACCCTAAACCTTAAACCGTAAACCCTGAAAAAACCTAAAAGCCCTAAACCCTAAACCCTAAAAGCCCTAAGCCCTAAACCTTAAAGGAGCCGTTGCAACCCTGGTTCCACGGGACTTGCCCGGGACCGCAGCACTGGAAGTACCCGAGCTGGCAATTTGCTTACTGCTCAGGGTTTAGGGGTTTAGGGGTTTAGGGTTTCAGGGTTTAGGGTTTAGGGTTTAGGGGTTTAGGTTGGGTACCGCCCCCACTCTGACACAGTTGGGCATTATTGATAATATACTCATATATAGCCCATAATAATTTGGGTTTAAGGTTTTAAAGCTACCTGTGCAGGGTTCCTTAGGAATACTGGTGTGTGTGTCTCTGATGCAATAAGGCTGAAGACTCTGTTGTCAAGGTTTAGGGTTCAGGCTTTCGGGTCCAAGGGTTCGGGCTTCAGTTCAAGCTTTGGGATTTCAGGGTTGGAGATTCAATGCTTTCGAGGACTCTGCAGCTAGATCGATTAATTAGCCACCTTTTTTTCCACTTTCGCAAGGATACGAGCAGATCATGCACTGCCACAATCCTGAGCTTGGAAATCGGGTCCCAACTGGAAGTTTTGCAACGTTCCTCTCATATTTCCTTGTGAAGAGGTCGTACAAGTGTTGATTGCAGCTCACATGAGCAGTTTCCTCAGCTCTGCTACTGACTAGGACTTGATAGGTCTCACAGAGCATGGGGCATATTGTGGCTTGTTTCGTGAGCTTTAAGGGCTCTAACAGCTCCCGAATTCCACAGCCCTCAAAGTCCGAAGCCCGAGCGGCCTCCAAGGCGCTTATCCCTCATAACCGTCAGAGAACATGGACCGCAACAATCTCGCGATCTCTAAGCCCCTAGCCTCCCCAAAGCCCCAAACCATGACAAGGCATTTACCTGGCCCTCGCCTAGCATTGCTACAGCGCATCGCACAGGCAGATATGGTGTAGGGGCTTCAAGGGGATCAAACTGGGCCGTATGGATCCTACATGGCAGGCACATGATCCTTTTCCAATCCCCATTTGGCGGTTGTTTCATCAGAACATGTCAGAACCCAAAAGCTTGATGCGATTGTCTTGGGCGCCTAAACCACCTAGACTCTCCACTTATCCTCTATTAGGGCCTCACTACCCTCTATGAGGGGCCATATATCCCCAATTAAGGCTGCTAGGAGGGTCTTGGCAAAGAGGATAATATAGCAATCATTGGGATCTAGTCCTTGGTGTTCAAGGGTTTGCAGGTTTCCCATTTCGGGTTTTCAAGCCCTAAACCCTAAACCCCTAAACCTGAAACCTTAAACCCTAAACCCTAAACCCTAAACCTTGAGTTGCGCTGCAGGAGGAATCCCGAGGAGGTAAGCTTAGCTCATCTTGGGGTTCCTGTGTGACTTTTTTAGGGTTTAGGGTTTAGGGTCTCTTGACGGAAGAATCACTTTCTACCAAAGTTCGCAGGATTACTACCTTCACCTGCTGTATTTCCCAGCATGTTCACTGCTTGGAATTTTGAATTGAAAGACCTCCAAACCTTGAGCATTCAACCTTAGCCTCAGACGTGCAACGCTACTTACTCATTACACTATCAAGGTCTTCAGGGCTTAGACTCTAAGCTCTACATTTTAAACCCAAAGTGCTGAACCCGACACCTTAAATCCTGCAGCCACCCTCCAGCCCTAGCCTCAACTGTTCCGACACATCCCAGTAAACCTTGAATCCTAAACCCTGGACCCTTAACCCCAAATCCTAAACCCTAAACCCTAAACCCTAAATAGTAGTTTCCACTTTATTTTCCATTATCCTCCTAAACCCTTAACCCTTAATCCTAAACCCTTAAACCCCAAGCGCCATCCGAGCCGTGGAGGCTAGGAGGCTGCTTGAGGAGGCCATTTGGGAGTTTCCCAAAATTAGGGGTACCTTTTTGGGGGTCCCCATAATAAGGATCATGGTATATTGGGGTCTCTATTGGGGTCCCCTTATTTTGGGAAACTCCCTGTTCTGGGAATTTGGGTTTCCGGTTTGGGGGGTCTGAGAGTGTGGGGTGTAGGGGTCAGGGGGAATTTGGGTTTACGGTTTTGGGGTGTGGGAGTGTAGGGTGTAGGGCTCAGGGCTTGGGGTTAAGAGGGCATACGATTCGAAGTTTTGTGAGTATGTTCTCTGTTTTATTTCTTTATCACCGAAGTCCTAGGCCTTCAGAAGCCCCGGAGATTTTGTTGGAGTGTCTGGGACGTTGGGAGTTAGAAGTGCACAGGTTGAGGGTTTGTTTGGACATACAGGTGTAGTGCCAGGTGGGGTTTAGGATTTAGGTTCAGGGTGTGGGGGTTAGGGCGAACAATCGGATGAACTGGAGCTACAATGAGTTATACCGGTTGTTTGGGCACTTCTGGTTCTACTTAATTTTAAGCCCCACAAACTCTAAGCGCCAAACCGTAAGCCCTAAGCCCTAAATCATGTTGAGGCCTACTTTGAGTATCCATGAGGATGCTGAGAACTTGAGAGTTGAGACTATGTGAGAGATACGCTGGATATGTGGGTTAACCCCAATAATGGAGAGTCTTCCGGACAAAAAAACTGAACAAGAAAATGGAAAGTGGTATGCAAACAGGAGTTATACAGGGGTGTGCAGGGTGGATACTGTAAATCCTGCATGGCACTAAGTACCTCATACCTTGGGAATCATGTTAGGGCAGTAAAGTAAGGGCTTGCAGGACTTTGAGTATCAACAGTACGGTATGGATTTCGCGTTTGCTTGGCAAGTCTGTTCAAGCAGTGTTCTTCAAGTTTTTCTTTAAAGTGCCATAGAATGGCTCTCAAGAACGGTGGGAAAGGATGATGTCGGGTGCGGGGTCATAGCCCCTTGTTCAGGGGTCGCTCAGAACAACCAAATTAAGTATTGTTCTAGGGCGGGCGTCCTTAAACCGTAAACCCTGGACCCTTGGGTAGATGGGTTTACCCTAAACCCTAAAACCTAAAACCTAAATCCTCAACCCTGCTATGTGCTGCAAGCATGAGCTGAAGTCTGCCCAAGAGCCTTCTCCTGCTAAGAGGCCACGGTGGATGGAGGGAATCCTTGCACCACTTGGAACCCTCAAACTACCCCCAGACCCCCTAAAGGATCCCAAAAAATGGAAATGTAGGGTATGTATGTTGGGGTTATATAGGGATTAAGGGAAAAATGAAAGCTACTCTATTGTAATAGGGTGTATATTGGGATTATATTTCTCCAAAGGATCCAAAAACTGGACGCCCCCAATATGAACCCATCACTACATTGGGGAAACTAGGGGATTATTAGGGGGTTCCATTATATGGATCTTTTAGGGGGTCTAGGCTACTGTGGTTGATTAGAATATGTCGGGTACATAAGGCAGGATTTCCTGCATCCGCGGTACCAAATTACTATTCTCAGATAGTTTTCAATTCGCAGAGGTGTTTTTGCTCCAGCTCGCTGCTGTGCCTAGGGTTTAGGGTTTAAGGTTTAGGGTTTAGGGTTTAGGGTGTCTTATTTGCCATGATGGCTAGACGAACCCCGTGTGACTGCACAGCAAGTACTCTCCATCCCTCCCCAATTCCTATCTTTACATAAATGGTATATACCCCAAACTCTACGCCCTAGACCCCAAACCCTAAACCCTGAACTCCATGACCCCCGAACCCTAAACACCTAAACCACTCCAATGTTCAGGAACCCAAATTCAAGTACTATGATAAGGAAACCCACGTATCATTTACCACATACCCTTCCCATGGTAATTTAAGTTTCTTAACAGCCACCCCAAACCCTTCACCCTAAACCTTAAACCTTCAGTCTTAAATCGAAAGCCCTCTAGGTAATTTAAGTTCCTTCACAGCCACCCCAAACCCTACACCCTAAACCTTAAACCCAAAACCTTAAACCAAAAACCCTAAACTTTAAACGTGCATTTTCAGGCCCACAAGGAGGGAGTCCTCAAGACGCCACTGGAAGTCACGGATGAGGAGAGAGTTCATACTAAAGGGTTTAGGGTTTAGGGCTTCAAGTTTAGGGTTTAGGGCTTAGGGTTTAAGGTATAGGGCTTAGGGTTTAGGGCTTTGGGTTTAGGGTTTAAAGGGTGGCGACCCCGGCCTGTTGGGAAACACTGGTGTTCACTA